CCTTTGTGTTCATAGTCTCTTAATCAACTGGCTTTCATTTTAATTGATGAAACAAAACAAAACCTTTCAGTAAAAGAAAGTACTTTTCAATTCAGACTCTGGATAATAGCTTTTCTGTGCTTTCACTGCTTTCTGTGATGCCTATGTAGTGGTAAGTCTTTCAAAAATCCACAGGGCTTTTGTGACTCTTACTGCTAACGAACTATGTTGTTAAACCTTTAGAGCTTTTCTGAAAAAGTGACACATTTTTCTCAAACTCAAATTAATTTCTAGTAAGTCCATCCCATTAAAGCTAACCTATTTACCAATCTGTTGTTTGATATGTTAGCTCTGAGCTATGTGTTTTCTGATCACTTTGCTTGTGGGAGTTCTGTCTGCTGCATTCAGTGAACTTACTCCATTTAAAATGCTGTTTCATGTAACTGGGTCATTGGCAGTTAGCTTAGGACCCAAGTGCAAAAGCTACCACTTTTATAAAACACAACGCATCATGTTTGTTGTTTCATAATAAATCAGAAACTGAACCCAAAGTGGATAGCCCATTTTTCTCATTTGGTAAAATAATGAAATCTTTGATATGTAAACAGATATTAATGTTTACTTTAAATTTGATATTATCATGAGAAGCCTGATATATTTTAATTTCTATCCATTTCTTAAGTAATATAATTCTATAGAAATTTAGGGTTTTTTTCAATTATAAAATGCATAAATGTAAAATATGTAAGCTGAACTTCAAAATTGGTATGTCTTTTATTTACAGAGCAGCTCTCCTATCTGCCTTCTGAGCTGGTTGTGTGATATAATGTAATTTTACTGGTTTGGAAACTATTTATTTCAATCTAACATACAGTTCTTGCTGCAAATACAGGTCAGCTGCTTAACAGCATTTCTGGGCTGCGCACTGATTTCAGAACCCATCACTCTTAATTCTGGGTGATTTTTGAGTGTCACTTTTTAAAATGCTCTTGAAAACAACCAGATAAGTGCAATAATAACTAAAGGTATATTTATATAAACGGATTCAGACAAACTGCAATGCAGTCTCATCATATACAGACCAGCGCCAGTTCTTCACTTGTGGAACTGTGACATAACTAATGCCTCTTTGGGGATGGATGATGCTTCTTGTAACTTGCCTGTAAGTTCAGGTGTTAGAGGTAGTTTTTCCGTGGCTAATATCATATGCTTGTCTGTTTGGATGTTCTTTTTTTCATGCGAAATGAATCTGTTCTCAAACTTCAGTTTTCTAGAACCTTGCATTTGCCATTCTCTTCAGACTACATTTTCTCTTTAAATAGGAACTAGAACAATTGCTAATGATGGAGACCAAAAATTACAGAAAGACCATAAAGTTTTACCAGAAACTATTGCAGAAAGAAAGAACCAAAGGTGAGATTACAGCCACTTGCCACTAATGAAACAGGTGTATAGTACTTTTAAGGATTTTTCCCTGTAAATCAATATCATTGATGTTCTCATACTGTGTGTTTTGAATCTAAAGGTCTTGAAACTAAATCTATGTTGCCCAAATTGAGAGGACAACTACAGGAGATGAAATCAAAAGTGCAGTTTCTTGAACTGGTGAAGAAATATGTGCAGGCAAGTCAGACTTTATTTTGCTTTTGTTTCGTTTGTCATTTCTTTACTGCATCAGTATAGTTGGCTGCTTAAGCCAGTATATGAAATGTAGAATGTTTTGTGTCAAAGTGCCAAATTAAGTAGAATCAAAATGAATTATTAAAATAAAGGTAATTGCTAATAGTATTGTTTAAAATGGAGGGAAGAAAAGCAATTCTATGAAATACAATTTGACTCTGAGATGAGTTGACTGCATTTTCCTGTTTTATTTCTACATGGCTTTGCATCTTTGAGCAGATCATGTATGCAGAGCAGTGGGGTGTGGAATCCTGTATGCTGCCTACAGTCATTCACAACGGGAGAACTGACACCGTGGGTGTGGCACCTACAGAGGAGTCATCATTGCTTCTTTACTATAACACAGAGAAACACCAGTGTAAAAATGAAAATGGAATAAGAATTCTGCAGGCTGGGACACCACTTGGTTTAATGGCTTATTTATATTCTAGGTATAATATATTTTGCACATTCTTAATTGGGAGTGAGTTGAGGCATAGTTGCTAATTCAGGAAAATGTAGTCTCAGTGATAAATTCTAGTTACTCAACTTTGCATAAATTATTCTCTCTTGTATCAAGTTTAATGTTGTTTCTGTGAAAACAGAAATGGGCATGGAAATGGCAGAAGACAGTCTGATAAGAAATAAGCCAAACTGCTAGATTTGGATTTGATTCAAACTCAAAGCATTTGATAATAAATAAAAACCTAATAGTTTAAAACTTTTTTTTCCTTTACTCATTTGAGGTTTTGCTCTGATAGTTGCCATGGAATGGAGGTTTTATGTTGCTGCCAACAGTATAACAATTCTTCAGAAAATATAATTTGACAATTCTTATTTATAGGTCCTGGATGTGAAAACACATAGGTTCTGTTTTGTGGGTTATTGCTCTGGTCCTTTGGACTGATCAAGCTGCAGCCTTATCTCAGGGCTTAAAAGAGGACAAAGATGTCCTTTAACCTTCAACTGGGCTGAGGGCAGTGTTGTTTTAAGATACCTGAGCCATTCTAGTATAAGGATGGAAACTGCCTGAGAGACTCCATCAGACTTGTGCTACTGGAAAGGCAGCAACTTCCTCCCAGCTCACTCTGACTCTGAGACCCAGTTACCTCTTCTCAGTGCTGCTTTCCTAGTGGTTAGTATTTTATACAAAGGGAACAAAATGTTTTGAAATCGGAGCTTCCACATTCATCAAACCCAAATTTTCATTGTTAGCTGTAAGCCATCAGGGAGACATGACAATTAAGCTATGTTAAGACCTTAAGTGTGTGTGTGTATACATAAAAAATAAAATGCGCTGATTTTTAATGTGTATAATAACTATATTCTGTTGTTAAAGCAACTACTGCTCTAATTAGAGCTACAATAAATATTTTCGTGCTTGAAGTATCTACTTTTTTATGCTGTTATAATAAAAATCTTTTAAAACAGCATCAAGTGAGATGACAGAAAAAAGGAAATTAAATCTGTTCTTCCATACTCCTTAGAATGTAACTTTTGATAACCATAGAAATGTCAAAATGACTCTTCACGAAATTGCAAGTAGAGAAACTTTCCTTAAAAACAAATTATTCTTTCAGTGTTGGCAGTCACAATATTTGATTGAATAAAATAAAAAGGAATCAAGGTTTTATGTAGACCTTAAGAATTTTAAATCCCTATTAATTCTTGATATTTTCAGGATTTCTTTTTTGCTGTTGCTTATTCTAATGCAAGGGGAAATTGTTATTTCTTGTCTGAAGTTATTCTTGTGCTTCACAGAAATGCGTTTTTAGAAGGTTATGTACAACAGTTTCTCTACACATTTCGCTATTTCTGCACACAAGAAGAGTTTTTGCAGTTTCTCCTTGAAAGAATCAGCAGCACTTTATCAAGGTAAAGTAATTTCCTGTGAAAAATATTAGCAAAGCATAATTAACTTTTCCCCCAATGGCAAATAGCCGTTTCTGAAAAGAACTACTTAATTAAGTTGAATTTTGATGTTTGTTTTTATAAGACTCTCCTGATAAGTAAGTGAAACTAGAGCAAGTGCTGTATTTGACAATGTGCTTGCTTCTTTTTTCTTCTGAATTCTGAGTCTTACTTTTTCCAGTTGTTCAGTGATGGATTGTAAGTGCAACTACAGCTTTGGTTCCAGAGAGGCATGGATTCTAGAGACATGAAACATAAGAATTTAAGATAAGACTGTCATTGCCAAACAATACTTGTGGGTTTTTCAACTTATTTTTAATGGGAATTGAATATCAATTTTGGTGAAATAAGTGCCTTTTTCTTCTCACCAGTGCAAGCCTGGATCCTTCCACGTCACTTACCAAAATACGTAACCGCAGTTTCTACATCCTGCAGGCTTGGATTGAAGACTGTTACAGTGTAGACTTTGCAACAAATGTTGATCTTTTGTGTATCCTAAAAGAATTTATTTCTTCCAAGGTAAATCAGAATTTCAGTAGAAGCTTTAAGAAAAAAGAAAAATAATCAATTGAAGTCAGTTGTGGTATATGTAAGATTGTTATTACAAAAAGGTATCCCAATTACAATTAAAGTAAAAGAAAGACAACGCTATCTTAGATAGCTCTTTTCAGTATGTCAGACTTTGGACAGACATGAATCTTACAACTATATAGTGCATTGCTTATAATTTATGAGAAATTGATTTCAATATTCTTTTAATCTGTTTTAAATTTACAGGTTGCTCCTTTAAATGGCTATGGTGAGCGCTTGTTGTCATTGCTTGAGGATGCTTCTGCCAGGAAAAGTGGCAATGCTCATCAATGCTCCAACATGGACAGATGTGAAGAGGACGGCGAGGAGGACAGAAAAACATTACATTCTCTATGTAAAAAGCTCTCAGAAGATGTTTCCAGAAAGGCATGTATTTTATTCAGACTGCAGGTTATAGAGCACATTTCCATTTATTATTTTCTGACAAAAACTGGAGTATCCAGCTTAGGGTCTACACCCTGATTTAGTAAATTTTATGTACCTGCATTTTAAACTTTATTTGGAAAGTATCTAAGGCATAAACAGTTCTGTAACTGTGGAAGCCATCTTTAAGCTTTAATTGTACCCTGTCAGCTGTTTCAGTTATAATAGATCAGATCATCAAAATTTTGAGAGGGTTTGAGCTGCTTGATACTAATATGTCACTCATAGTTACTAGGAAACCTTTTTCCCCCTCGTCAGACATTAATACTTATACTTACATATATCTTTGTAATACTATAAATATAGGAAAACAGTGGGGAGTGGGGGGTTTCATGCTACAGTTTCAAAGCTTGTGCAAACCCTTCTCTGAACTACTGTCTGTATTTACTTGTTCATATAGTGTGATAAGGAAAAGTAACCCCAGCAGCTCGATCATACTGTAGGTTTTTCCTCAAAAAACATCTCTCTGCAGAGTGATCAAGATGACATGTGGAAGACATGTGTGTCAATAATGTGCAAGTGAATTTAGGATCAGCCTTCTGATAAAGGTGTAGAATTCCTTGGGGTATACTAGGAATTCTGCCAAAAAAGGGCAAGCAGAGTAGACAAAACATAGACTTCTTTTATTGCCACTGTATCATAATGAAGATGGAAAAAGACAGAAGAATGGAAAAGCAAATATTACTTTGGAAAGGGATAATTTCTTTGATTCTAAGCAAAAAGAGTACAAGAAATAGTAAGAGATAGTAAGAAGTAAAACATAAAATATAAAACTTAAGAATACAAACTGTTTCACAGAGTCACAGAATGATAGGGGTTGGAAGAGACCTCTGAAGATCATCTAATCCAACTCCCCTGCTAGAGCAGGATCACCTAGAGAAGATCACATAGGAACACATCCAGGTGGGTTTTGAATGTCTCCAGGGAAGAAGACCCCACAAACTCTCTGGGCAGCCTTTTCAGTGCTCTGTGACCCTCACAGTAAAGAAGTTTTTCCTCATGTTTAAGTTGAACTTCCTGTGTTCCAGTGTGTGACCATTGCCCCTTGTCCTGTCACTCGGCACAACCAAGAAGAATATGGTCCCGTCCTCCTGACACCTGCCCTTTACATATTTATAAGCATTAATGAGTTCCCACCTCAATCTTCTCCAGGCTAAACAGACTCAGCTTTCTCAACCTTTCCTCATATGGGAGATGCTTCAGTCCCCTCATCATCTGTCCCAGCTCTGTGCTGGACTCTCTCCAGTAATTCCTCACCCTTCTTGAACTGAGGAGCCCAAAATTGGACACATTATTCCAGATGTGGCCTTACCATGACAGAGTAGAATGGGAGGACAACCTCCCTTGACCTACTGGCCACACTCTTCTTAATGCACCTCAGGATGCTATTGGCCACAGTCAGTCAACCAAGCCAAGCAGGTCAGCCCCCATCCTGTACTGATACATGGGGTTGTTCTTCCCCAGATGCAGTACCCTACACCTGCTCTTGTTGAATTTCATTACATTTCTCCCCATCCAACCTTCCAGCCTGTCCAGGTCACTCTGAATGGCAGCACAACCTTCTGGTGTGTCAGCCACTCCTCCCTGCTTTGTGTTGTCAGCAGTTTTGCTGAGGGTACACTCTGTCCCTTTATCGAGGTCATTGATGAATACATTGAACAAGGCTGGACCAAGTAGCAACCCCTGACGCACAGGCTTGCAACTGGACTCTGCCCCACTGATCACAACCCTGAATTCTGCCTTTTGGCCAGTTCTCAATCCACCTCACTACCCAGTTGTCCAATCCACACCTCTTAAGTTTTACTGTGAGGATGCCATGGGTGACAGTGTTGAAAGCCTTGCTGAAATCAAGGTAGATCCCATTCATTGCTTTCACCTGATCCATCCATCTAGTTATGCCATTATAAAAGGCTATCAGATTGGTCACTCATGACTTCCCCTTGGTGAATCCATGCTGAATACTCCTGATAACCCTCATTTCCTTGACATCCTTTGAGATACCACCAAGAACAAGCTGTTCCATTACCTTTACAAGGATGGAGGTGACACTGACTGGTCTGTAGTTACCTGGGTCCTCCTTCTTACCCTTTTTGAAGACTGGAGTGACATTGGCTTTTTTCCAGTCCTCAGGCACCTCTCCTGTTCTCCAGGACTTTTCAAAGATGATGGAGAGTGGCCTAGCAATGACCTCCGCCAGTTCCCTCAGTACTCCTGGGTGCATTCCATCAAAGCCCATGGATTTGTAGATGCCCAGTTTATTTAATTGTTCTCTAACCCAATCCTCTTCAACCGAGGCAAAGTCTTCCTTTTTCCTGACTTCCTCTGTGGTCTCAAGAGTCTGGGACTCCTGAGGGCTGGCCTTAGCAGTGAAGATGGAGACAAAGGAGGCATTTAGTAACTCTACCTTCTCCGTATCGTCCATCATCAGGGCACGTGCTTCATTCAGTAATGGGCCCACATTTCTCTCTAGCTTTCCTTTTGTCTCCAATGTACTTAAAGAAGCCTTTATTTTTTTCCTTGACCAGCCTTGCCAAGTTTAATTCTAAGGAGGCCTTAGCTTTCCTTCTTGCCTCCCTACATCGTCTGACAACATTCTTGTATTTCTTTCAGGTGGTCAGCCGCTTCTTCCATGCTCTATAAACTTCTTTCTTCCACTTGAGTTTATTCAGTAGCAACCTGCTCAGCCATGTAGGTCTTCTGGCTCCCTTACTTGATTTCCTACTCATAGGGATGCTCCAATCTTGAGCTTGGAGGAAATGGCACTTGAATATTAACCAAGTCTCTTGAGCCTCCTCTGCCTTCTAGTACCCTGTCTCATGGGGTTTCTCCAACCATTTCCTTGAAGAGGCCAAAGTTAGCCCTTCTGAAGTCCAGGGCTGTGATCCTGCTTGTTGCTCTGTGACTACTGCACATGATCCTGAACTCCACCATCTCATGGTCACTACAGCCAAGGTTGCCCCCAGCCATCACACCCTCAACCGGTCCTTCCTTGTTTGTCAGTTTGTCAGTACAAGGTCCAACAGCACTCCTCTCTTTGTTGGCCCCTCCGCCACCTGTGTCAAGAAGTTATCATCTTGGACTGTGTGTGCCTGGCTGTATAGCCTTCCCAGCAAATGTCAGGGTATTGAAGTCCTCCATGAGAAGTAGGGCCTGTGATTGTTCATGGCAGCAAGCTTCAGTACGCAGAACTTTGTTTTACATACTGATTGTTGATTGAGATCTGGTATCGTCCTGCTCAAACTCATCAACTGTGCATATTATATTAGCTTAAAATAGCAATGTTGAAAACCAATTAGTGCCTGGGCTAACCTTGAAGATTAAGTGAAGAGTTTTACATCCACAAAGGTGTTTCTCTAACAAAACGTTCCAGAAAGTTAAATCAAGGGAAGGCATAAAGTTTGCTTTAGAGAAGTTGCTGTTTTACTTTTTTCTTTTTTTTTTTTCTGCAGAACTTTAACTGGAAACTTTCTAAAGGTATGGGACCAATTGCACAACATCAGAGAGAACGACTGCACACTATTTCATCAGTTTTGCCAAAGCCATGCTATAACAGTTTTACAGAAGAATTACCAGTCTCCTTTGCTAAAGCAGATGAAGTAGGACCGTATCTCTTGATAGAATACAGTGTGCAACAGCTTTTTTGTCAGCTGACATTACTGCAACAGGTACAAAGATCTATGTTTACTTGGAAGTACAAATAATATCTATCTTCTTATTTTATGCTCAGCCTCTTTTTTCTACTGTTTCCCAACCCTATTTCAAGCTCATTTCATACTATTTCATAAGACTTTGAATTAAAATAATCCTTTTCTGTCTTGAAATCTCTACAGTAAAATTTAGAATGGCTAATTCTATTCTTAGGCTGTGAGCCCTCTGCTAAATTTGCTAAAGAGAAGGGGAGTGGGGGAAACCCTCTGTCATTTTTACTCTGAGCATTTTAAAAGAACTGATAGATCTAACAGCAGATATATCTTCCTCTTTTTTGTTTAGGAAGTATTTCATAAATGTCATCCAGTACACTTTCTAAATTCAAGAGCACTTGGTGTTACAGACAAGTGTGTTGCTGTCCAAAAGTAAGTTTCTTGTCCTTCTATTCTGCTGATGCACAATAACTTACTGTGTCATGCCTTTAATACATCCAGGAAGAGGAAACATTTTAAATACTTAATATCTTTTCAACAGACTAGATAGTCTATTTTACATATTTTTTTAATTTCAGGAGATTTTATACATATGTATGTATATGTGGTAGGTCACAGTTGCAAGGTGATTTCTTTGAAATCTAAAGTTCATCAGGCCAAAATATTTCTGAAGACTTGTGTTAGGAGGTATTACTTTAGAGGTTTTATTTTTGGTGGAAAAAATTAGTAATGGTTTCTGAACCAGCATACCTGATAATGCCTGCGTGTACATATGTAGAATGTCAGTGACCATTACAGAATCACAGAATAGCTAAGTTTGAAGAGACCTCTCAAGATCCTGTAGTCCAGCCCCCTACCTTAGGCAAGGTCAGCTAGAGCAGGTTGTTGGGATCATGTGCAGTGGAGTTCTCAGTGAGGATGGAGAACCACAACCTCTCTGTGCAATGTTCATTTCTTACTGTTAGGTAGATGAAGTATTCACAAATATGTAAGAATTTTTCTGTAGTTATTAGAGTGGCTACCAACCTATTTAAATTACTTGCTTAACAGTAATTAATGTTTTTCATCCAGCCACATGGACCTAATTGTCTTTTCTTATGGTCGAGTTCCTACATACTCAGTGGATTCAGCTAACTTCTAATTTGTACTTGTTAATTACACTACCTGTAGCAGACTTTTCCATATAAGAACTGTGAATGAACATCTAAAGCAGCTCATCTTTTACAGACTGTCGAATAGCAGAGGCTAAATCAGCTGGTTTATACTGACTTGGGGTTCAAGCATGGGAAACAAACTGTGTGGTGCCACTAGGTGTCAGGCTCCACTTCTTAATGTGACTAAAGTTTTTTATGAGTTTGAATTTCTGGCTGTTATTTTGTGTCAGATTGGATGCTTTGTTTTATTCAATAGCAAGTAGTGAAGGTGCCTTTGTGTACAGATACATATATTGCATATGCTTGTCTTCTAATCACATAATTTTCTTGTAATTATAAGGAAGAAAAAGTAACACTATGTACTTAGTGGAAGATAATAAAAGCAAGACCTCAAGTTCTGCAAAATTATCTTAAATTGTTAAAGTTGGCATCTTCACAATCAAGATTTGCTTTGAAAATCCAAATTCAGCATTAATTATTTTTGTGGTTTTTTTTTTTCCCAATTCTCTCCATAGAGCTGTTTCTACTGAGACAGTTTCACTTAATGTCTGTAATCTGTTTATGTCGAAGTGCATACAAGACCAGTACCTTCTACAGTTACTGAGAAATGCAGACAGTATCAGCAGCTGGGTTACTGCTGAAATTGTAATGTGTCACACATCTAAGGTTTGTAATTTTATTGTATTATTAATTATGAAATTATTCTTTGTTATTGTGTATGAGTATATGCTATGTGTATATGCTATGTGGCAAAGCTGCAAGAAATATTCTGAAATATACCTATAAATGAGCAGTTAACAATTTAGTTTGTTGTCACAACGAGCATGTTAGATGTCTTGGATGTTTTACAGTAGCAAGTGACAAAGCCTAATATAACATAAGAAATGGGTTGCCTGAGAAGAATAGATGTCAGACTAACAAGGACTCCTCAGTGACAGAAAACAGAAAACTTAGTGTTGGAAGAAAATGTTACCACAGTCAAGAATTTTGATAAATTCAAAAAGAAAATGCATCTCTTTTTCTTCCTTCTCATTTAATTTTATTATGTAGGTTTACTATATATGTTTAGTGTATTTTAATATTTTTAATATTGAATATGTGGTATATCATAATTTTTTTTCAGCTGCAGGTGAGCTTGTTGTCAAAATTTCTTCTTATAGCAAAATGCTGCTATGAACAAAGAAATTTTGCTACTGCAATGCAAATCCTAGCAGGCTTGGAAAATCTTATTGTACGGCAGTTACCAGTAAGTCTGGGACTTCGTTCTTTTTTTTTTTTTTTGCTTAAAATAATCATGTTCCAATATGGACGTTAATTTGAAAAAAAAACAAAAATTTATTTTGTTTTCTTGTAAGGCCTGGAAAATTTTACCTGCAAAAGTAGCTGAAATTATGGAGGAACTCAAGGCTGTTGAGGTATAGTATAAAGTCTTTAATGTAAAAATAATTCTTTAGGGTTGGATGAGATGCAAGATCTGCTTAAATGGGTGCCTCTACAGGATGAAAGCTGAATTTATTGCTCTGTATTATGAAGGAGATTTTAATTTTATTTAAGAGTGTTGACTCTTAATCCAAGAGTTTACATTAATTTTCATCTCAGTGTTTCTCAAAAATGTATCCTCTGTAAGTGAAAATCAAGGAAGACATTTCAAAGCAAGCTAGAACATTAGATACACCTTTTCTGATTATTTCTGCTGGAGCTTCGTGGCTGTAATATGTTTTGAAAAATCTTAAATGTTTATTTTATCAGAGGCATTCTCTTATTTGTCTATCCCATTTTGAATTGTAAAGTTCTAAAATGTAGGTTTGGCTGTCATTTAGAACAATTAAAAATTATGTATGAAGAATCTTTTGACTAAAGTTACTTTTTTTATTTCTCTACTTTAAAATATTGGCCACCAGGTAAATTCCTAGTGTTGTCTTTTAAATGCCAAAAGTTAAAATTTATGACAAATAAATAGGTAGTGTTAAACACATGAAGTGGAGAACTTCTTGTAAAACTCACCCCAATACTTAACATGAGATTTAGCTGTGTGTGTTTTTAAACTAGGTTTTTTTAAAAAGTGATAGCTTGTGCTTGACGGAAGGAGAAAGATTCAAAACACTTCCAACAATTCCATCGGCCCATGTTTTGGCTATGCATGTCCAGCAACTTGAAACTGGAGGATTCACAATGACAAATGGAGCTCACAAGTGGACTAAACTTAGGTAATTATTTTAATTATGCATCTATGTCACCTAACTTTTTAAAATAGAATACTGTCCAATGAGGTAATGAGAGCTAATGCAACATCTCACAGTCAGCAGTTTAAATAGTTTCAGTCATTTTGACATGTAACTAAAGGGACACATAGTATTGAAGAAAGTACCTGATGCCTTTGAATTTCCTTTAAAGTTTGTTTTGGGGGATTAGTTTTTGGTTTGGGGGGAGGGGGGGAAGAAGGAGTGGCGGGGGGCTTTGTTTGTTGGTTCATTGTTTTTTTTACCAGCAGCAAAGCAAACTAATCTTTTTTACCATGTTCTCTTTCAAGAAATATTGCAAAAGTTGTGAGCCAAGTTCATGCATTTCAAGAGAATCCTTATACGTACACACCAGATTTCAAGCTGCAGTCTTACCTCAGACAAAGAATAACTCATTTTAAAGATGCAGACATTTCTGCCTTGGCAGCTGACAACTGTGCCAACTTCCATCAAATACCAGCAGAAAAACATTCTCGAAAAATTCAGGACACACTGCGCAGAATGAAGGCATCATTTCAGTAATTACTTACATTTCATCTGTTCTATTCCAAGTGTAGACTGTAAAACTGGATTAAGTTGACTTCATCTCCTGGACAATTTCCAAGCAAATACTTAAGTGAAGTGACTTAAAATGTGATCTCAAGTTGAAATTATTGTATTTCTTAACATGGAATTATAAAATGCTGACTAATGAGATTTGAATCCTTGGCAACTGGATGACAGATCAAAAGAATAAAAATAAAGATAAAAGTAAAGAAAGAGTATAGATGAAAAGGATGATTAATTTTGTCACTGTTCTTTAGCATAAAAAATAATTATCCCACAAACAAATATATAAATATAGTGTGGAAATAAGTTAAAATTACAGCTTGTGTTGCAAAGTTGACCTAGGAGAATTCAGAGTATAGTTTATTAAATGTTGAATATATTTTTATATAAACATAGTACATGTGTATCCTGTCACAATGTGCATATAATTCAGGGACACACATCCTCTGCTATTCTTTGACTGTTGGTGTGTCTTGTTTTTATATAGTGTATTATGAAAACTATAATTGACTTTAAAAAACGGCAATCTTTTTCTTCAAGCATATTAAGGAAGGAGAGGAATGCCATGCTGCAAGTCTTTTTTGTTTTGGTTTTAATGCCATTGAACTAACCTGTTTCCAAATGGAAGTATGATCTGAATCTAAATATTACCAATTTGTTGTTCTGCTTCTCTCCTCATGGCCTTGTGAAATCAGTAAACCTGAAATTGCTTTTTTTTTTCTGTATTTGGCATAATAATCACTTTGCCAAATTGTGTATGTGTGCACATTTAATTATGGCTGTTACTTCTGAGGTTGCTTCTGTAGATTGCAGTGCTCCAGCAGCATTAATTAGAAGATAACTGTGAAATTTGGATCTGCATCTCGTAAAATATTGGTGCTAACTTATTTATAGAACTTTTACTTACAAGACCTTCTAAATGGCAATTAAATGTGATGCTATTGCTAAAAAGTTTGTTGAGCTAAGTTTATGGAAGGCCAAAATGTTCAGGCTACAAATTGGTTACAAATGCTAGTATTTCTACCAGAGGAAACAATGGTAGTATTGCAAGAGAAGTGGAGAAGGGCAAGAAACAGCTAAAATGAGCTCTGTCCTGAAAGTTATTTGCTAGAACTGTGCTTAAAAGTGGGGGAGGGGAAGGGGAATGTTTTGAGAGGTGTGAAGAACTGATGTGAACTAACTATCTTGGCATGTTTTACTGACAGGGAAGGACAATGTAAGAAATGGGAATGTGCACATCTCTAGTATGTTGCAAATTGTACTATTGTATTTGACAGAAATGCATGTGCACGTGTTAAATTGTAGTTTTTGCATTGTTTAAGAGGAAAGCTTCTCCTTTTCTCTTGTCAGTAATGGCGATATGTACATCATAGGCCACCTGCTTCTCATCTTTCTTAATCAAACACAAGATATGTCTGTACTTTCCATTAAATACCTCAGGTTTTTTTTCATACAAATATGTAAATACCAGACTAACTTTTATGCTCTTTTCTTTATTTTAAACACTGGAGAACTCAGTCCTCAAAAGGTTTTTCCTGCGTTTGTTCAACTTTTAGGATGATTTTTTTGATATTTATCATATATTTGTTTAGCAAGTCATTAGTTGTAGTAATCTGACTTACCCTTGAGGAAATAAAATGTGTTACTATTTCTCTAAAAATTGGCAAATTCGAAAACATTTAATCTTTACCTCATATCGTTATGTAATAGAGTTATTTAAGAATGTTATTGATAACCTTATCTTCGGACATACATTCCACATATTTGATCTATATGCATTTATTTTAATTAGTAGTTTTTATTAGTAGTTATTTTTTTTTGTCAAAAATTACCATTCACTTAAAGCCACACCTTGCCTTTGAAAGACAGTAAAATTTAAAGTCGCATAAGCTTTGCTAATGTAAAGAATTACACAAAACTTGCTAATTATATGATCTTAATAAATTCATTTTGTATAGTTGCCAGTTAGACTGTTGAAATTACTTTTGTGGATTTACTTATCATTTATATTTTGCACTCATGATAATTAGCTCACCTATTTCTTACTTTTGTCACGATTTAAAACAATTACCACATCTAGAAAATATTATGCTTATTCTATGATAATTACTATGGTTATGGTGCTATACAAGAATCTAAAAGTCATCTTATGTCTTCTGTATAATGCTTCAGTGTATCAGACTTTATATTGCTATAAATGCATAGTATTGAGTTATGGTAATACTTTGGGGTGTTTTAATCAATCAGGTATTTCAAGTTTTGTATTTAAACACAAACCCACAGCAACAACAAACAACAAAACTTGAATAGCTATATTGAGAAAAGAAAAAAAATACTCTTTTACAAGGAAAGTTATTTGCTTTTGTTCATGAACATTTCTGTATGTACATCTTGTGACATGGATTTCAGAATAAAGTTTTGTCTAGCATGGAACCGTACTGCTTATTTATGGCTAACCAGCAGGAAGGGTTGGGTTAAAGTTTTCTCTCTTTGTGAGGAACATCTTTTTAAAAGAAAACACAAGGCAAAACATGTCAAAGCAGCAAGTTGTGTTGTATCTAGTTGGCAAAAAATATCGGCATCAGTAATTGAATTGTATAAATGAGGGACTATGCAGTCTGGTCCCATGTTTCCATTCCAATACCAAATTAGAATGTTTGGGGAAAAAAATGAAGTTTATCCTTTAAGACAGAATTGGCACCAGCTGTCCTAGTTCTTCATTTTTTTCACACTTTCCTCATCTTGTTTTTATATATATTTTTCAAACAGTGACCCATGGAGTTTCTGAAATGAATTCTGCTCCTTAGGAGCCTTTCTGGTTGTTTTGTTCATTGGTGCTCTTTCTGTGTCCCTTTGCAGATGTCTGTCCCCAGGATCCCTGAGGTTTTCAGACCTCCTGTAGAGAGCTGGGAGCTGCGTCCTAGTTGCATTAGCTGCATTTGAAGGCAGGTTTCCAGCTCTGACACCTCCAGAAGCTTGCCAGGGAACAGGGATGAATTCAGCTGAATCCTATGAACTGCACCGTAGAAGCCCAAACCAAGAAGCTGGAAAATATTCAGCTGAATCAGCACTGATTCATGATTCTGACAAACTTATTTCCGTGGAAAATTTTCAGCCACTTCTAAACTGTGCTTTTATGTTTTTCTACATTCATCCTTTATGTATTAGATTGGTTTCATAAGCAGTGCTGAGACTCTTCTGTGAGTACTGCATGTGATCTGCAAAGGATTAAAATTTTAGTAAATCTGTTTCTAAATAGCCAAAAAAAACCTGCTAAATGACAGATCCACCTTTGTTTGGGTAACCACAAAGTGCCTGACTGTGTCTTGTTATAAAAATGCAAGGTTGCGTCCAGTAAGGCTCTGAAGAGGTCTGCCTGCACTGAGTATTACTTCATGCCTTCATTAACATGCTCTGGTTTTTGAAGATGACATAAATCTGTGGGGGCCTGCAGGAATGCTGACAAAGAAGATTAAAATTATCTTGACACCTTGGAAAAATGACACACAATAAAATAAGGTATGTTACACAGAGACATATGTGGAGTTCCGAGATAATCAGCTCCACAAACATAGACTAAGTTTACTGGGGTTTTGTGGAAAAGAAAAGATAAAGAATAAATTCATTTACGCTATGTAAAAAGCAGTGTCTTGATATCTCCTCAAGGTATCTCCTAATTCTCTGTTTCTTGATGCAGGGAACTGAATGGACAGAAGGCTTGACACTAGAAGACAAAAAAAAAAAAGAACAGATTACTCCTGAGATTGGTGTATAGATCCACAGACATCAGCAAAGTAACTTTTCTCCATGAGGGTAAACTGCAGAACAAAGATAGGGTACCTCTGTTAAAAATAATTGTTGGGAATACAAAATCCCCCAAATTAATTTTATTTAAATTATGAATAGTATGACCTAAAGACTGAGAGGTGCAGGGAACAGCAATATGTCACCCAACACATAAGGTGAGATAGCTGGTGAATTACTGAATAGGCATCTAAATATCACCAATAGTCCCTCATTTTTCTGTTTGTCCAGACCATGGGACATATTGCAGTATGCTATACTTCACATCCCTGTCCATACCACCTGCTTGTCCCTCTGATGATAACCATGATGTGCTTTGAGGCTGTCATGGGGACGGTTTGGATGTAGCATCAGGTGCCTGAGCTGGTGCTGGGTGCATGGGGAATAATGGGGAAAAGCTAGACCTGTAACATACAAAATGTTGCAAAGTATTGGAAGGAAGGAAGGAAGGAAGGAAGGAAGGAGAGAGAAGAGAAAAGAATACACAGTCTCCCACGGCATCCTCACAGCTA